TTAGCCTAAACTCGTGCATCTCCATATATATCAATTAAACTCTAACGCGTAATCACATTAAACGAATAAACCTGGATTTATATTTGAATTTGTACTAAACAAATCCCTTAATATTTTTCTTTGTGCGCTCTGCACAGTCGGACTCAAACCCAAACATTAAACATGGTCCTTTTGAGGCCTTTAGAAACGAAGTGGCACCTCAAAAATCTCCAAAAATAAAGAAACACAGCTCTGGGCGGCCTCTTGGGCATATTATAAAATTGACTCAAGTCAGTAGCGAGCGAGAAATCATAAAGCGCGGACATTTAAATACGAGCAGTGAGCGACAAATAGTCAGTCGGGAAATAGTAAACCGAAAAGACAATTTAATTTGCAAAAAAAAAAACCATTAAACGTGGGTGAAAAATATAAATTAAACAAACAAGACAAATTACAAAATTAAACACGAGTAACAAGTTTGTGAAAAAACAAAAAAAAGTTTAAACGTTGCGAGCAACAACATATTTGCTTTGCGATACCAAGGCAAATTGAACAGTGTGGTGGAATTACAAAATTTTTAACAAATTTAAACAGTCAAACGAAAACGACAAAAATTTAAAATCAAACAAAAAAATTGTGACAATTGTGCAAAAAAAAACTACAAAAATTTAAGACAATACAATTAAGAGATTGTGAGAAAAATTTTTTAAGCGTTGCGAGCAGCATACCTGCAACAGCAACAAATTTTTAAGCGTTGCGAGCAGCATACCTGCAACAGCAACAAATTTTAAGCGTTGCGAGCAGCAGGCCTGCAACAACAACACATTTTTCAAGCGTTGCGACCGCCAGCAGTATACCTGCACTTAACGGAGAAGCGGTGCAAATGCCCTACTGGAGCATAAAAGGCGTAAGCGGTGCGACCCCAGCACTACCAACAATTTCACTACAAACCGGACAGAACCCCTACCCGAAGAGGCGGAACGGAAAAATAAATCAAACCGGCTAAGTAAAAGCACCCATGGCTGAGTAAGTCCATATATTTCATGTGCATATATATATAAATATATTGCGGTAGCCCGGTAATTATACGAAAATAAAAGGAGACCTAGTTTTCCAACCCCCGTTACTTCGAAAAAATACAAGTTTTTTCAAACACCCCGTTAATCTCGAAAATTCCAGTTGCGCCTTGTTGAATTTAAAACTTATGCATATACATATATGTATATATATGTTTATATGTACATATGTATGTATGCACATAGTAACAGCAAATTAGCTAGCATCTTTAACTTTGCTAAAGTCGTACAGTAAAAGTCCTGTTATATTTTAATTTACATATGTATGTAGG